AACCTTTGGTGAATATAATCTTCTATTTCAGGCGTTTATTCTTGGCAGAGTGGTCGTGCCTTTCATGATGGTATATCTTGTGGTATGGAATCGTTGTATTTCTGTTGAAAATAATATAGGTCCAACAAAACGTCGCCCTCCGTCTCTGCACAAATGCCGGACGGTACGTCCGTAAGGACGTGATCTCCCGCGATCTTAAGGTCCCCACGGTGTAGTAACTTGTCATCCGCGAATAGTGGGCGCGAAGCACACTTGCGCGCGCGCGGACGAAACTAACGCGCTCCCGCACGACCTTCACTCCATCACGGAAACTCGTCATTCGCGGCAGGGCGGCGTACAAAGTCGGCCCGGCGAGCCATCCTTATCCCCACAATGCTCCACCACTCCTTCAGCCAGCTACATGACTGTAGCCGACTTCACCACTGTGGTAAAAAGGAACGACGCGGGTGTGCACCCCAGCTGTATGCCCAGGTAATGAGCATATGCTCGAGGCCCGTACCTGCGACCCATTTTAAGGGCCCGCAGAAGAACCCCTGAAGAGTGGAGAGCGCTTGATAAATCTAGCGTCAAAGCTTTTGAAAACCGGCGGCTCCTTGAGCTGGATGCTAAATGCAACGAGCTGAAATTCCGACCACCTGCGGCTATCAGCTATAATTATGTGAGCGGCGTGCTCTCATTCCCGCAATGTACGAGAGTTTTCATAAACAAAATTAACTACATAAGTCACATACGAGCAAATCAGCCAGGATTACATCATCATCATGTTATGTTATGTGTATGTAATTGTTGAATAAAGAATTTATCTATCTATCTTTCCATCTATCTATCTATCTACTTTATTCCATGTATTAGTTCGATGGCCATAAATTTAAAAGTTACTTTAATGAAATAAAGCAATGTTCACAACTTATTCCCAGTTTTGGGTAAATTTATAGTTTTAACTTCGAACATGTTATAATAATAGCTGTATTTTAAAGTTATTTTCAGGAAAGCAATGTATTCAGTTGATTTTTATATATAAATTTATATTTTTTTTAATACGTATTAAAAAATATGAATACAATACTATAAATAATTTATAGTATTGATCTAAATTCATATTATTTTTATTTCTAGAATAAAATGAACATTTCTTACCTCACTACTTTCTATATTAAACTGTCATTCTGATGTAAATATGTGTTTGGCTGCACCAGATCTGCTGCTCGACTTTGGTTGCTTATCTTTACCTGATATTTTCTTACGGCAGTCCGGCATAGTGACCAACCTTCTTACATTTGTCTCTCTTATAGTAAAAGCTACATTAGGTTTTGAATGAAATAGTAACAAATATCCATTCATTCATCCATTCAAACTCACAAATTTCCGAATTAATAATATTATTGTAGCGCGATGGTTATCACCTCATCACTGTAGCATCATCATCATCATTACATATTATAAAACAAAGTCACTATCGTTGTCTGTACCTATGTATGCTTAAATCTATAAAACTACGCAATGGATTTTGAAGCGGTTTTTTAATAGATAGAGTGATTCAAGAAGAAGGTTTATATGTATAATGCATGTATACTCGTGCGAAGCCGAGGCAAGTAGCTAGTATACAACAAACCAAATGTAAATACAGCCCCAAGTGTACACACGTGACCACATTTAAAGATCCTTATGAATTACTCATCACAAACACAAACGTATCGTCAGATCCCACCTTTTTACTTTACGAGTTTCGTGTACAGAAATGTAATTTTATACTTACAAACTTTTTTATAATGGACGAAAAGGGAACGCTGGCGGAGCACTATTGGAGAAGTATATATAGTAAGTCCGAAAAAAAGCCATCTTTTTTCGGACTACTCTAATGCTGTTGGCCGCAGCTGGCCTTTACAGCTTCACCGGACGATAGCGGGCGAGTGCAGATGGGACTCCAAACCCGCGGAAGGACTTATGGAGCGGCTGAGGGCCAACTCCCGTCTGACAGATACGACTTTAGTACGAGAGCACCGCTAGGGGTTCGAACCTCGGCTTAGGCCGTCGTAACATCGGTCCCCGTTTGAACATAGCGTGGAGCAGCCTGGAGGTCATTAGTAACATTACTAACAAATCCAGTAATGTTACTAACAATCCCTTACTCAAGTACTTATGTATCAAATCGTATCTGAAATCAATATTTCAATAACAAATAGTCATGTCAATGAATCAAAGAAAAATACTAATGTGGGAGAAAGGGTCAGTTAGTAATAGAATAGAATAAGAATAGAAAATCATTTATTCAAATAAACTTACATTGAAGCACTTTTGAATAGTCATTACATTTTTTTTTTAATCTACCGCTCGTTCGGAAAGCTGTCTCATCACAAGAAGAACGAGCAAGAAACTTGCGTGTTGCTTTTAAATAATTTTATTATTACTTTACATTTTTAAGTTTAAGTGTGTGAATACAAACCACCAATTAGCACTAATTCAATTAAATACTCGAATAGAAAAAATATTGAATATATAACCAACTGGTTAAACAATTAATAAGTGGAAATCAGTCATAGTGATTAGAATATTACTAACAATCCCTTTCTCCCGCACTTAAGTATCAAATCGTATTCTGAAATCAATATTTAAATATGTAATGATCATATCAGTGACCCAAATAGAAATAATAATGCGGGAGAAAGGGTCAGTTAGTAATGTTACTAACAATGTCTTTTTCCCTCACTTACGTATGAAATCGTATTCTGAAATCAATATTTAAATATGGAATGATCATATCAGTGACCCAAATAAAAATAATAATGCGGGAGAAAGGGCCAGTTAGTAATGTTACTAACAATGTCTTTTTCCTACACTTACGTATGAAATCGTATCTGAAATCAATATTTAAATATGTAATGATTATATCAGTGACCCAAATAGAAATAATAATGCGGGAGAAAGGGTCAGTTAGTAATGTTACTAACAATGTCTTTTTCCTACAATTACGTATGAAATCGTATTCTGAAATCAATATTTAAATATGTAATGATCATATCAGTGACCCAAATAGAAATAATAATGCGGGAGAAAGGGTCAGTTAGTAATGTTACTAACAATCCCTTTGTTCGCGCCATTTATAAACATATCAAGTGGTATGGTATTATTCCCCATATCCTAATCCCTTTCCCGCACACGGTATGTCAACTGAGGTCGCCCGACGACCTCGTCTACTAACGTGAATGGTGACATCTCGTCCCAACCGCTCCGCTTTAAATTAATTAATATAATATTGACATTAACAATAAGTAACTTTGTGTGCGTGCCTGTGTTAAACTTAGTATTCATCGAGTGCAGCAGCTGTGCAAGAATACACCCGCTCTACAGTCGCAGGTACGTACTGTGCATCCCCCTTTATTTCAATTTCCATACAGTCCACTTACCTTACCCGCTACCCCCCATTTCTCCATGGTACGCCTTCGAACCGGATACCTACCGCTTAAATACTATAATTAGGACGAGATTTACATCCCCGCATTGATAGGTACATAATTTCATTATATTATACCGCCCGCTATAAGCCATACCGCTTCTTTGTACCTATTCGTATATTCACCCGCGCATACGCATTTTCTGTACTTAATATATTAGTACGCCACACCTTTATAGGTGTGTAAGCCTAGTCTTGGGTATATTTTCTAATAATTACCGCATTTACCGCTTAATAATACTTTATTATTTGTATAATACATATTACGCAGTAAGCGTACATACCTACCTACATTAATTTGTATTTTTCAACGCCAATAATCGTAACGATAATGGAGTCGAATTTAAAAATGCTAGAAGCTAAAAACAGAGCTATATTTCAACGTATTACAAGATTGCGTGATACTTGTAAAAATCTGTCACCGTCGTCAATCGACTTACGCTCCGCAGGCATTCATGGCGGACAGTGAAACCATTGATACACTGCGCCATGAATATATACAAAATTTAGATTCTATAAACGAGTTACAAATGCAGTTGAATCCTAAATTTGAACCTGATTACCAGGCACTTTTAACGTTTGAAGATATTTTTAGTCGAATAAAAAGATGTCGTTTAATATTAAGCGAAGCGAATAAGCCTTCGTCTTCACAATCGGTACCGCATAATAAATCTAGTATCAAACTAGAACCTCTCTGTATTCCTTGTTTTGACGGGAATATGTCCACGTGGTCTAGCTTTTATGAATCTTTTAGGAGTAATATTCATTGTAACACCGATTTAACCGATTCACAAAGAATTCAGTATTTACTTAGTAAATTAACTGGAAGCGCTCAAAAAATAATGGCCGGTATAATTCCGTCTGGTGATAATTATACTTCCATATGGGAAAGTTTAGTAAAGAAATACCAGGATAAAAGGGCCTTAGGTTCATATTATATTTCTACATTATTTAACATTAAATCGGCCACAAATAATTCCGCCTCATTAAATAATTTCATCGAAACTTTCGATGCCGCTGTTGCTGCTGTGCGTCAATTAAAGATTGATGATATGCAAGATTTTATTTTATTGAACTTAGCCTTACGAAAGGTGGATTTAAGTACTACACAGGCTTTCGAAATGACCGCTAGAAATAAAGATATTCCGAGTTATATGGATTTTGTAGAATTTATAAAAAGTCAGGTGAAAATATTAGACCGCACGAGTAATAATATTAATTCAGTAAGCCGCAACACATTAACTAATATTAAAAACAACCGCCCGCAAAATGTACATTCGTTTGTTTGAACTTCTGGTCACCGAGCTCCTTGTTCTATGTGTAATACTTCGGAACATTATCAGTTATATACCTGTTCCACATTTAAATCAATGCTGCCGAAAAATCGATTAGATTTTATTAAATCTAAACAAGGTTGTGTAAATTGCCTTAGTATAACGCATTCTGTGTCCACTTGTAATTCTAAATACAAATGTAGAACTTGTAATAAGCGACATCATTCCTTATTACATTTAGATAACGCACAAAATAATAATACCCCGCTCTGCACTCATCGATCTAATGTGATGAGTGATCGATCTACGATCGCCGCTCCCGCACTCCCGCCAGTCCCCTGTCGTAATGCGACACAATGTAATTTGACTCCTGACGGGGACTCAAACGCGCCCATTTTCGCGGTGCCCGCACCTTTGTCATTGTGCACTCGAGTACCTACCACTACAGCAGCCATGCCTGGTGTTGTATGTCCAACGGGTAAAGTGCGTACAGAGGTACTTCTGTCTACAGCGTCTGTTATTGTTCGTAACTATAACAAAAATATAATACGTACTGTTCGTTGCCTTTTAGACAATGCTTCGCAACATAACCTTATTACGATTGATTGTTGTAAACAATTAAACTTAAACATTATTCCTCTTACGAATTCATTTTTAAAAGGTGTCGGATTAACAACGAGGCCTATAAAGGGCTATGTTAAAATAATGATTTCCGATAAACATAACGAACAAAGCTTCACTATAACCGCGTTAGTTGTCGATTGTATTACCGATCGGCTACCTATTGAATATATAGATACGTCTGTTATAAGTCATTTAGTCGACTTACCGCTTGCAGATCCTCACTGGCATCTCTGAGATCGAACTTGTATTAGGAGCAAATTTGTTCCTTATATTCTTTTAAGTGGAAAAATAATAAGTCCACCCGCACCGCCAGCCATAGAAACTATTTTTGGTTATGTTTTTATTGGTGACGTTCCCTGTAATAATGCGACCACGTCTGATCGTGATCATATCGCGCCTCAACAAGACTCATCTTCCTCTGCTTTCTTAACATGTATTGAAAATAATCTTAATGATTCTCTCTCTAAATTCTGGGAATTAGAGGAGGTTCCTATAAATAAATATTTAAGTCCCGCAGAAAAGAAATGCGAGCAAATGTACTCTTCTACCGTGTCCCGCGACTCGTCAGGTCGTTATTGTACTGTTTTACCGTTTTATAAGGATCCTAGCGAGTTAGGTAACGTATCACCGCTTTTCGTCGCTTGCTATCGCTAGAACGCAAACTAGAAAGTACAGGTTTGCGCGCTGATTATAATGCCATCATAAAAGACTATATAGACAACCAATATTTATCTGAAGTTTTAAATACATCCGATAATATGGATGACGGTTACGTCATACCGCATCACCCTGTCATTAGGCAGGATAAAGACACCACCAAGGTCAGAATAGTCCTTGATGCAAGTGCTAAATGTCATAACGGCATTTCTCTAAATGATATTTTACATACGGGTCCTAATCTCCAAGCTGATTTATTTTTACTTTTATTAAATTTTCGTTTATTTCCAATCGCTATAACCGCGGATATAAAACAAATGTACCTACAAATTTTAGTAACCGACGAGTATCGTAAATATCAAAAAATACTGTACCGCTTTAATACGTCTGAACCCATACGTACCTTTCAATTTAATAGAGTTGCATTTGGTCTTAAGTCAAGTCCTTACCTTGCCATGCGTACAATTCGTCAGCTTTGTGATGATGAACGCGATAACTTGCTGGCTGCTTCTATAGCTGAAAGGGAACTGTATATGGACGATTTAGCTACGTCTATACTAAATGAGGTTGATGCCGTCGAGGTTACCGCTCAATTAATTAATATGTTCAAGTCAGGTGGCTTTCAATTAGTTAAATGGTCCAGTAATTCAAAGAACCTACTAGAGAGCATTCCTACACCGCTGAAACTTGCACAGCAAGTTGAGTTTGATAGACGTGAGTCCCTTAAGATATTAGGGCTCGAATGGAACCCGCAAGATGATATTTTCGTTTTTAAAATCAATTGTGATGACCGCTTGTGTACAAAACGTACCATACTTTCCCTAATTGCCCGATTATGGGACGTATTAGGTTTTGCTGCGCCTGTCGTACTTACCGGTAAACTACTTATTAAAGATCTTTGGCTGCAGAAAGTCGGTTGGGATGATGTACCTCCGACAAATATAACCGCTATTTTTACTACATTTAAACAACAATTACCGCTTCTTGCTAATTTAAAAATACCGCGTCATTTATCTGTCACGCAAGACTGTATAATAAATATCGTTGCGTTTTCGGATGCTAGTTTAAAAGCTTACGGCTGCGTTATTTACTTACATGTGACAGATCCCGCAGGCAATATATACGTGAGATTAGTCTTGCGAAATCAAAAGTCGCACCCGTTAAGGTAGTCTCACTTGCGCGACTAGAACTTTGCGCCGCCGTTTTAATGTCTAAACTAACTAAACTAGTTTACGATGCTTACTCTTCACGCACGTCTGTACAGAACGTCTATGCATTTTCTGACTCGAAAATTGCACTCTCATGGATTCATTCTTGTCCACATCGGTGGAATATCTTCGTTAGCAATCGTGTGGCTAAATGTCAGGAAAATTTACAATCAAAACATTTCTATCACGTGGCTGGATTCAATAATCCAAGCGACTGTCTTTCAAGAGGTTTACTGCCTAAACAATTACTTACCCATGAGTTGTGGTGCAACGGTCCCGCGTTGAGTAGCCCCGTCTGCTCTTATTAGAGTCATTTAATGAAAAATATGAAAACTTACCTGAATATAATACTAAGACGTTCGTTACAGCTGCTTCCAATACTGTAGTCTCACCGCTTTGTGATCTTGCATCTAAAGTTTCATCCTGGAACAAATTATTACGAATTACTATTTATACGCGTATTGCCCCGCTCTAAATATATTGAAACCGCTCATTTAAATATCGCTGAAAAATATATACTTACCGCAATTCAGGTCGCTCATTTTTATCATGTTATTAGTGATCTTGAAAAGGGTAATTTACCTTCTGGAACTCTGCGTAAATTAAATCTTTTTATTGATGACGATGGCATAATTAGGATAGGTAGATTATTAAATGCTAACTTACCTTTCGAGGCAAAACATCCCGTTTTATTGCCTAAGCGCGACCATATCTTACTTATTAATAGATCATTTTCACCGCGTTAACTGTCACACAGGTGCCATTCTTCTTCGTTCTTTAATTCACCAAAGGTGGTTTAAAAATACAGACAATGTTAAGGTTGGTACTGTAGTGCTTATACATGATGATAACGTCTCACCACTGCGGTGGCCAATGGGTATCATTGTGAAAATATATCCAGGCTCAGATGGTATTGCTCGCGTAGCATCTGTTAAAACTCAAAATGGTTTGCTCAAGCGACCAATCGTTAAATTAAGCCCTTTACCTTCTCAATAACTCTATTTTTATATATACCGCATTTAATTATATTTACCGCTAGGTGTATTCTATTAAGTTTTTCTTATTATACTACGCTCTATAACTAATTATAAGTATGTTAGGAATATATACTATAATGTACATCCGCTTCATATATTGCTCTTCTTTGTATTTTCTTTGAGAAACCCTTAGTTTCTCAAGGCGGGGGAGGATGTTCGCGCCATTTATAAACATATCAAGTGGTATGGTATTATTCCCCATATCCTAATCCCTTTCCCGCACACGGTATGTCAACTGAGGTCGCCCGACGACCTCGTCTACTAACGTGAATGGTGACATCTCGTCCCAACCGCTCCGCTTTAAATTAATTAATATAATATTGACATTAACAATAAGTAACTTTGTGTGCGTGCCTGTGTTAAACTTAGTATTCATCGAGTGCAGCAGCTGTGCAAGAATACACCCGCTCTACAGTCGCAGGTACGTACTGTGCATCCCCCTTTATTTCAATTTCCATACAGTCCACTTACCTTACCCGCTACCCCCCATTTCTCCACCCTTACTCCTGCACTTACGTATGAAATCGTATCTGAAATCAATACATATAAATAAAATTGGAGTGTCTATTTATAATATTGAAATAACCGTTTTTTTCTACATGCATATGGATATAAATACGGTACATACAACAAAATAACATTTTTTTTCAATTTTTGTCTGTCTGTCTGTTTGTCTATTTATTCCAGATAATCTCTGAAATGGCTGAACCGATTTTGACGGGACTTTTTTTGGCACGTAGCTGATGTAATAAAGAGTAACTTAGGCTACTTTTATTTTAGAAATAAAGTTAAATAACCACGCGGACGAAGTTTAGTCTATCTATATAATTTAAATATCCAATACACATATCAGTGAATCAAATAAAAAAAAAGAAATGAATATCTACGAAGTATTCTCTGTTTACTTATTTGATACACAAACAAGTACCAACGTCAGCAGACTAAGTGAAGGGCTATAGACTAAACTAGCTGTTCCCGTGTCTCCGTCCGCCTGGAATTTATGACTATTCAAAATAGGTATTATGAAATTTACTTTAATGAAGATTATTTCTATTTCTATTAGTTCTCAGTTAGTTTGGGACTAGATGGGAATTGTCCTGATATTAATATGTTTTATTTGTCGATGATATTGTCTGGAAAGTTATACTTATTACTAGCTGTATCCTTTCTTTTCTTTCTTTCTTCTATCCGCGATTTCGTCCGCGTGGAATTTAGTTTTAATTTTCTAAAATAATTTCTTTCTTTCTTCCTTCTATCCGCGATTTCGTCTGCGTGGAATTTAGTTTTAATTTTCTAAAATAAAAGTAGCCTAAGTTACTCCTTATTACATCAGCTACCTGCCAAAAAAAGTCCCGTCAAAATCTGTCCAGCCATTTCATAGATAAGCCGGTACTGGTTTGTGTAACAATACACCCTTTTATAATTAACCATGCGTTCTTATTTTATATATAAGAAACATTTTTATTTTTAACTACCTGTACAAAAACTTCTGCGTGAAATTAACATTATTTTTCTAAAAAATAGTCCTTATTACATCAGCTATCTGCCAATAATAGTCCCGTCAAAATCGGTCCAGCCATTTCATAGATTAGCCGGTATAAACTAACAGCCAGACATAAATTGTAAAAAATGTTATTTTGGGGTATATGTACCGTATTTATATTCATATGCATGTAGTAAGAGAGCAATGGAGAGGGCTATGCTTGGAGTTACTCTGCGTTATCGAATCAGAAATGAGGAGATCCGCAGAAGAACCAGAGTGACCGACATAGCCCGAAGAATTGCGACTCTGAAGTGGCAATATCTCATAGGATAGATGGCCGTTGGGGCAGTAAAAATAAACGAAGACTGGGAAGGCCTCCAGCAAATGGACTGACGATCTGTCAAGACGCTGGAAGGCATTGGATGCGAGCAGCGCAGGACCGATCGTTAAGATCTTTGGGGAGGCCTATGTCCAGCATGAGGCCTGCGATGATGTTGATGATGATGCATGTAGTAAAAAACGGTTAATTCAATATCACAAACAGACGCTCCAATTTTATTTATACGTGTAGATAATCGAGGGGAATGAATACTATACTAACTTAAGCCTTTCAGCCACGATTATCCGGCACATGTGGAAAACCGATTGACTACTGATTGTGGGATTCAAATCCTCTTCGCCGAGATTGTGAATAATTATATAAATGTATATATATATGATTATATACATCGAGGGAAGGAAATTGCTTTTAACACTTCAATTCGTTCTTACGTTTAATTGTATGCTTATTGAAGAAACGTGTGGTTTTATAAGAAACTAGCTTTTCCCCGCGGCTTCGCTCGCGTTAATTTATAGCCTTAGGGGTGGAATTTATCAAAATCCTTTCTTAGGGGATGCCTACGTCATAGTAGCTTTATGCATGTATAGTCTCAGCGCGCTCGGTTTAAAATTGACAAAGTTTCATATAAACTTTCATCCCCTATTTTATCCCCTTGGGGGTTAATCTAAGTCCTTTCTTAGCGGATGCCTATGTCATAACATCTACCTGCATACCAAATTACAGTCCGATCCGTCCAGTGGTTTGGGCTGTGCGTTGATAGATCACTACGTCAGTCACCTTTGAGTTATACACTTATTATCAAAGTGAAAAGAAATACAAAGGATTTTAATAATATAAATATTGCTCTTGAGGATGTTCTAAACTGGTTTACATCAAATAATCTAGCGCTTAATTCAATGAAAACAAAATGTGTTAAATTCTCTTTACCAAATGTAAAACAAGTAACGACAACTGTTAGTATGAATCATCATGTTTTGGACTTTGTTGATGAGACTTTGTTTCTTGGTATTGTAATAGATAATAAATTGCAGTGGGGACCACATATATTCACACTAGCCAAAAGACTAAGCTCGGCTGCTTTTGCTATCAGAAAAATTAGACAATTGACTGATACTGCAACAGCGAAACTAGTGTATTTTAGTTAATAGACATAGAATAATAGATATAGAATTTGAATAGACAAATAAATCGGAAGAAGGAAGGTCAAGGTGAAAAATCATAGTTAATATGAAACAGAGAACATATACAAATTATACAGAGTAGGTTGCTACTTTTACAGACTAAAATATTTTAACAGGACATGTGACATAAGTAACAAGTGACTTAAATAAATATACATAGAGAAGACCTGACCGATACAAACAATCATACTCATGAATACAAATGTTTGTATCATGCGGAGAAACGAACCTGCGACTATCGAAAGCAAACCGGTGACATAAATACATATACATGTAGGGCGGAGTTCCAAACCGAGGCCGTCAATAAAATTATAATAAAATTAATATAGTTCAATTAGAAATTAAATTAAATTAGTCAAGTTAAATTAGAAGATAATTTAAAATACTTATTATAAAAAAAAACTTTAACAAAATTGTTTTTCAAACGAATACATTGTAAAAAAGGCGCCATCTTGCCTTACTACCAATGAAACCAAACGTAACTTCGTTTGGTTTCATTGGTAGTAAGGCAAGAACGTTGTGTAATTTCTACGAAGTCTGAAAACGGGTGTTTCTTGAGCAATTTTACCTGAACTTGCTCAGAAGTTACACGAAATTGTAACAGATGGCGCTGTACACATTTTTTATCTATTCACTGAAAACTTTACATCAGTCTCGGTGATGTAGGTTTAGCGGATAGCTTTACTTATGATGCTCACGGGTTCGATTCTCGTAAGGTACAAATATTTGTTTTCAGAAGACTAATTGTGTATGACAGTTGTACATGGGTGTTTTCTATTTGGATTATTTATGTACAAACTATATTTTAATATTATGTCAAAGTGGACTAATTTTGTTAATTTTTAGCCATATTTCAAGATAATAAGTATATTAAATTTAGTCTTGGTCTAAGCAGAGCTTGTGTTATGAGTAGGTACTAAAGTACTGATACATACATAATATTTTTAATAAATACATACTTATACACCCAGATTGATACAAAGAGTCCTTCTCATACATTTTTCTATAGTGCAAGGAATCAAACTTGCGACCATCGGAAGTAAAGCTGTATACTCAACCGCTAGACAACCGAGGCCGTCGTTTTATCTATCTATCTATGTAGCTATCGAAAAATCTTGACTATTAATAATTTTTCTACAGTGCGAGGAATCAAATCTGCGAACATCGGAAGTAAACCTGTATGCTCAACCGCTACACTACCGAGGCCGTTGTTTTCTCTGTCTATCTATGTAGGTATCGAAAAATGTTGACTATTAATAATTTTTCTACAGTGCGAGGAATCAAATCCACGACCATCAGAAGTAAAGCTATATGCTAACCGCTAGACCACCGACGCCGTCGTTTTATCTGTTTATCTATGTAGCTATTGAAAAATATGTACTATCAATCATTTTTCTACAGTGTGAGGAATCAAACCAGCGACCATTGGAAGTAAAGCTATATGCTCAACCGCTACACTACCGAGGCCGTTGTTTTATCTGGCTACCGCAAAATGTTGAACATCAACTTAAAAAGCGATCATTTTGTTCTCTTTATTAAATGCTATAATTGTACCAACAAACGATTCTACAGCACAAGAAATCATTAATTTACTTAAACAGCGCACTTTTTTAAAGAGACCCCAATAAAAAAGGAATGAAATGAGGGTCGAAACGTCCTGGATCGGGTCCAAGTCTTTAAACGGGTAATTTAACATAAAAAACAAACAAACAATGGCACAATGAGCAGTAATGTATACGTAAATAATGTTCGGATTTTAATTAAATGTTTAATGATTGAGAGGGTAGCTGCCCGGTGATTTACTGCCACGGTACAGACCCGAAAGGTTGCGAGTTCAATTCTGACTAACCACAAAAATCTTGTATTTTTTTTGTAATTATATAACCTATACTGGAACAGATGGCCGACTATTTTTTAGTAATAAATGGATGTTTATAAGAAACATAGCAATCCTAAGCAATATTACACTTATATTATAGCTGTACACGCGACTTCGTTCGCGTGGAATTTAACTTTATTTTTCTAATATAAAAGTAGTCAGTCCGTATTACATCAGCTACCTGCCAAAAATAGTCCCGTCAAAATCGATCCAGCTACTTCAGAGATTACCCGGAACAAACAGACAGACAGACAGACAGACAAAAATTGTAAAAAATGTTAATAATGTTATTTTAGTGCATGTACCGTATTTATATTCATATGCATGTAGTAAAGACGGTTATTTCAATATTACAAACAGACACTCCAATTATATTTATATGTATAGATGTATTATTTATATCCGAATGAGAGAGAGGGGACTAGCAGGTGGATGAGTAAAATAGAATAGAAAAAATAGAAAATAATTTATTCAAATAAACTTTTGAATAGTCATCACATTTTTTTTAATCAATTTCTGTCTCATCACAAGAAGAACGAGCAAGAAACTTGCGTGTTGCTCTTTTAAATAATTTTATTGTTACTTTACATTTTTAAGTTGTAAAGTGTCTGAATACAAACTACCAACTAGCACTAATTGATTAGAGT